TCAAGAAAACACTACTTACCAAATCGAACGTGGGTCTGATATTGCTCGCATTTATCCATAGGACTGCTTGGTCCAGGGATAACAAAAGCAAAAATCTTCATCCAAAGACTTTGGTTATTGAAGCTTGATTGGAAACGATCGCTACCCGCAAAGGAAGTAAGGAGTGGCAACTTTTATTGATTCAATGCATCTCTTCAACAATTTGAAAGTCAGTAGATCGTTTTACAGGATAGTTTTTCTGATATACAATTCATGGATTTTCAGATGCATCCCCACGCATACGGATAGCCATCTATTTACGCTGTAGAAGTGACAATAATTATCTTCACATTTGCTTGCAGCAAGTCCCAGAGTAGCTTCACTAAACCCGCGACAGTACCTCGAGGAACTCTGCGCATACCTGCTAGCACAGCTTGTTGCAAAGGTGGTGCCTTTATTTGAAATTTGACATCAGTAAATCTGTCTGTGGTGGGACTCAACCATGTGTTAGCATGGTTCAGAATCCTCCGCATGTACTAAAAATTCTGTTGCTAACGAGTGTTGCAGATCCAAGAGCTACACCTACATGCCAGTGGAATTATGGCGTTCAGAGGAGAACCCAGCAGACCTTATTCCCGAGGACTGAAATTTTGACAAACTGCCTGCTGTTGCTCTGTGGTGGAAAGGTCCTCCATTCGGTGGGGTGTATACCTTACCAGAACATTGATTTGAACAATTAGACCCACCCCCATTTTCTAATGAATGAGAAAAAGACTGACATTGCTTGTTTAGCACTTGGCCTTCAAAATTTATTGATAATGTCCTAGATCTCCTAACAATATTTAAAATTTACGTTGTTAGCTTTTTCAGTTCTTTGGAACTCTGGGTGCAAAACAGACAGGCGCACAGAGACGAAGGCGAGGAGTTAAAGTGAGTTATGAGGCAGATCCTTTTTAGTAGAGAGGTTCAAAAAAATGTTTTCATTCAGATTACCCATCCCTCGCACAAGTACCCATTAATAATAAAGTACTATCCTTCCTTTGCCCCTTTTTGGATGCAATAATGTATGAGCGTAGGAGGCGATTACAAGGGGCCAATGCAATGTTTTCACAAACCATCAAATATTGCTTGTGTAATGCACTAAAGCTGATTGCTGAGCATTATCATCGGAAATATTTTACCCGTAGGTTCGCCAAGCATTATGGTTTTTGAGACAGAAATTTTGGCCCATTACAGGTAGGAATTACTAGAAGATTCCCATGAATGTATAATTGTAGTACAAATAAACCAGTCACTATCGAACAAATTAGGGTCATTACCTGCAGAGCGCGTATATCCGCTCCACCCTTTAATCATGTCGGCAACCGATTTTGGCGGTCCTTTTTATCGGTCAAGGGCGGAAAGGACTCTCATAAGGTATTTAGCTCTTTTCATTGCCTTATACAAGGCAGTGCATCTCGAACTAGTGAGTGAACTCCACTCGCATTTCTTGCCACCTTAAGAGATTTAAGCTAGGCGCGGAAAATGCTCAATCATTTTCTCAGACAATGCAACCAACTTCGTTGGCGCAAATGCCGATTGAAAAGAATTAACCCAATTTGAGAATCCGACAAAAAATTGCAGATTATTTAGGTGCAGAAGGAATAAGGAAGTTATTCCACCACGGACCCTACTTTTGGTGGACTATGGGAATCTGGAAAATCCGTGAAATATCACTTAAGCGGATGTAGGTAATGCAAGGTTGACTTTCGCGAGTTTATAACTGTATAACTGAGATAGAGTCTGTTTAAAATTCTCGCCCTATTACTCCCTTATTACGATGTAAATGATTTAGAGCATTACACCAGCATTTCTCATTGGAGCCCTTGAATGCTAAGTAGAACCCGATAATTGATATACCTGAAAACAGACTCTGAAATGGAAACGAACTAACCAGATTTGTCCAGTTGATATGGAATCGTTGGCATAGGGGTTCTATTTAAACACACTACAACAGCGTTCAAATGGAAGGTAGAACAACGAATATTAAAATCGGTATGCTAGTACAGTTAAGGAGGATAGCTTCCTGTCCTGTAGATGGGTGTTAGGCGCCATTACAAGAATTTTTCCTGGAGTTGACGGTTAATTAGAGTATAGAATACAGACCGCAAGGCATCATTAAGCGTGGAATTAAAAATGCATTTTCCCCCCCCGAAGGCTTCCTAAGTTAGTTAAGTGTTAGTTATTCTTATAAACTTGTATTGTACATTGTATAAACTTTTGTCTAAATTTTGTATTGAATTGAGATATTATTATTGCTGAGATATGTTCGTATACTTATGTATAAGTGTTTTGTAATTATCGCACGTTTTGATATGCCGGGGTCAATGCCGTATTTAAGTCTTAAGACAATTTACTGTAAATTGTCATTTTTTCTCTTCTTGGCGCCTTGCATGGCGCAGATGTTCATTACAGCAACCCTGTAACGCTTACTCATTGTTGTTTTGGACTGTTATTTAGTAGTAGTCCTCGCTTGAAAGATGGCACGCATTTGATTAAAGTTGTCGAATAAAATATTTATTACAGTCCACTTCTAGTTAATTTGAAATTGTTGTATAACAACGCACGCATCGCATGAACAGCAACCTCTGAGGTGTGAGATGGAGCATTGTCTTAGTGAAACAAATTTTTTTCTTTTGCAAATGTGGCCGTTTTTCCGAAATTTCTGCCTTCAGCATGTCAAGTAACATTACATAGTATGGCTTTGGTAATGGCTTTTCCCTTTTCAAGATAATCTACTAGGATAATCCCATGGCTGTCCCAGAAAACGGTTGCCATCACTTTCTCAGCCGAAGGAACAGTTTTTGCCCTTTTTTGCAGCCGATTCTCCTTTGCACACTATTGTTTTGACTGCGTTTTTGTTTCTTGGCTGTAATGACGAATCCAGGTTTCATCGACAGTGATTAGTAGTGGAAAATACTTCTATTTATTGAGCCAACAGAACGATACAAATGCTCATTCGGACACGTTTCCAGCAAACGCGTTCTTTTGACATGCTCATAGCCTCTGCTAACTCTCCAACCTTGATTCGACGGTCGTAGAGCACTATTTGGTGAATTTTAGCGATGTTTTTGTCAGTGGTTGCAGATTTTGGTCGTCCCGAATGTTCCTAGTCACCCAGGCTGGTACGGCCACGTGCAAATTCAGCTGCCCAAAATTTCAATGATGGTGCAAAGTCTCCGTACACCGTGTCTAATTCCTCTTTAATCTGAGTAGACGTATTACCTTTCGAAAAGAGGTATCTAATGACAGCATGCGGTACTCGCTTTTTTCCACTTTTGCAAACACGGTCACATCAACTCACAAATGTAATTATCAAACAAAACATTTCGCGTTCAAAGCAGCCTAAATTTTGATTGGCAGTTATAAAAATTCCAAAACAATCCCCCCTTTGGTTGATTGGAGTTGCCATCTACATATAGAGTTCGGAAACTTTCCAGACAGCCTTCGTATAATATAAAATAATTTTTTCTTGTGTTTCAAAATGTTTTTTTTTGTTTGGATAGTGGTTTAATTTCTATAACTAAATGAACTTATTCTACAGATAATACTACTGCTGAAAAATACAGGTAAATTCTGAATAACATGTGTCTACTAATTATTCTTTTTTGTTAACCATGAGTTTGGATTACTCTTGTTAATCAGGAGCCTGCTGTACTGTAAACATTCGAAAGTTAAACTGAAGAGTTTCATCCTCCAATCTGCGACAGTTCCCAGAATTTAAAATTTGGCAGTCCCAAATTAATATTATGGTATCACAACGTAACCTTAACATAATATGACACTAAAAAATCTGATGTCTACGCCACACGACTTCCTTGTTCGGAATATAAAATTAGACGCATTTTTTCCTGCATTTCATTTAAACTTATTTCCTCAAATTTCCTTAGAGATAGATTTTTCATTCAATTAATTCAGTTTTCGTTTCGTGACAAGGCAAAAATACATAAAAATTTAAAATATCTATATTAAAAATTGAAAGATATAGAAAAACATAAAAAGCCACATTTAAAACAATTAAAAAAAATTGCAATCAAAATTACACTTTCTACGCAAAAACAAGCGATTCGGCCAGAGGGCAAGAAGGCAGATTTTTCGGTTCACAAAACTGACAGTTGACTTTTGGTCTCACTCGGCAAAAAAAGACTGAAGGCGTAGAAACTGACTTAAATTGTTGGGGACGCTATGCTGAGTCAATATATGAGGAAATTTAACAACATAAATGATAATTCAAGAATGGATTAAGCATAATTTAATTCGCAATAATAAAAGAATAGGTTACTTTGTTGTTGAGAAGCTTAGTTTCTCTCAGCTTTTTCTGGCAACAAATCCACTATTCTGCTAAGTTTGAAATGTAAACAAATATGACTGCTATGGGGAAAAAACTAGGCTTAGCCTAGTTTTAAACAATTTTTAAATTGTTGATAATTTTACAACTATAACATGCAGGTTTAACTAAAGGCATAAAAACCTTAACCAGAAGATAAGAACAACATAATTCAATCCTTTTTAAAGCAAAATATACACAATTTACAAACATATAAGAATAAAGAAAGTGAGCTCATCGAACTGAGTAACAGAGTGGATTATATATATATATATATATACATTTATATACTTTTGGTGCGCCCGATTGCAACAAAAAAGGGAGGTGCAAATCTACATGTTATAGCAGTTGTATATACAAAATTTCAACGTTCTGAGGCTTGCGAGATACATACGTATGTACAGACGCCACGAAACAAAATCTCTTTTGAATCTCATTTTAAATCAGTTTTATAATTCATTTTGGGAAAAAGAGTCCTTTATTCTGTCCTTACGTACAGATGTCATACAAAAACATCGTTACATTACATTCGATAGCATTCAAAATGGATATTTTCGTTGAAAATATGGTACCCGGAATTTTTCATAATTAAAATACTTCCTTTACTTCGTACAAGGAAGTAAAAAGGAAAGACTATTTCTAACAGTATACATACCAATGGTAACATCGAAAGCGAGGTCTCCAGTTGGGGGTCTTGAGCAAACTTTGGAGGGTACATGCAAGGTTTACAAACATATAACACATAAGGAAACACCTAAAATTAAAATAAATATTAATTAAATATGATATCAGAAATTTATTTTCGATCTTGTTTATATATAGCCAAACACTCAATATGATTAATTAATTAATAATTTTTTATTTCAAAGTTTAAAATATATAAACCTATTTGATCATAAAATGAAAACGTTACTTACATATACAAAAGTAATCAAATTTTAAATCATTATAGTTGGAGCTTAATTTCTAAAATTAGAAGTGCCGGAGCTCTATGCAAGACCATCGGGAAAGGGAAACAAGAATAAAAAAATAAAATCGCCATTAACATCATTAATCATTAAAAAATTAAATAGTTAAAATTACTGTTAAGCAGAGTTAATTAATAATTAATATTTGTATTGTTATTTAATTAGATAGTGTTCAGTTAAATGACAAATAATTATTAATGGTTAAATAATTAAATAATTAAAGATTAAAGTAATTAAATGTACAGAGATAAATTAAAATTTAATACGCGAATTTAACATAATTGTATTGATAAAAATAAAATTTTCGTAATCAGATTTCTATTAAAATTGCTGTTGAATTACAGAGCAGAAGTGCCGGAGCCACCGTCGCAATTTAAGCTCTGCATATAGTACAGTACAAAGTCCGTAATCTGGACGTCCAATATCTGGAATGATCTATAATCCAGACCTCAAAGCCACAAACTTTTTTTTGTATGCTTTACGCATGGGCGTTTAATGTATAACGGACGGTATAAGCTAGGCTAAAATTATCTAAGGCATTTCAGTTAATGTTGCAGATTGTGCTGTTGCTTGCTCATCTAATTGGATCCGGCGGCTTATTATTTTTTGCAGACTGTTAGAGCAATTTTATAAAAAAAAGTAAGCTTGAATTTTCGGTTATGTCAAAAAGAGTTTCAAATTCTGGAGCTGCCAAAGGATCTACAAAGAGAAAGCATGTTTTGATGTCCATGAAACAAAAAGTGGAATTGCTGCAAAAAATGGATAAGTCCATCTCGAAATTATGCGAGGAGTATGACATTGGAAAGTCAACTGTATATGACATAAGCAAAAAGAAAAAGGAACTTTTTGAATATTTTGTGGATTCCGACACCCCACTTGCAATGACTAACAGAAAAAGGGTTCGTTATGCTAAAAATGACGATCATGACAAAGTGATGAATGTTTAATAAAGTAAACAAATAAATATTAAGCTTCTTTTGCAAATTTTGATACCCTTTAGATCATAATTGCTCTTTATTTCATAAATTACGGTTTCATATTTTTAATGTTGCAGATTGTGCTGTTCCTTAATCTTCTAATTGGATCTGGCTTATTATTTTTTGCAGACTGTTAGAGCACTTTTATAAAAAGTAAGCTTGAACTTTCGATTATGTCAAAAAGAGTTTCCGATTCTGTAGCTGCCAAAGGATCTACAAAGCGTAAGCCTGTTTCGATGTCCATCAAACAAAAAGTGAAATCGCTGCAAAAAATGGATAAAGGCATGAAGAAAAATACAGAGAGGTTAGTGAAAACAAAAATTTTCGATTGACAAGTTATTCGGTATTCTCGGCAAGCAATTACAGGACTTGAACAGTGAAACTTTGTAACTGAACAAGAAATTATGTCTGTTTGTAGAATTAAAGAGAAAGTATTAGCACATAAAACGAAGCAACTTAAACAACTTTCATTGAAAGAAATGTTTAATAAAATAAACAAACAAATATTAAGCCATTTTGTAAATTTTGATACCCTTTAGATCATAATTGCTCTTTATTTCATAAATTACGGTTTCATATTTTTAATTGTATAATTTCTGCATGCCATCTTACCAGATTTAAATTAATTGATGATCTGTAATCCAGAATCGCCAAATTCCCGATGAGTCTGGATTAGGGACTTTGTACTGTAATATGTAACCAAAATCTATCTGTTTGTAGCTATTTCCTTCAAAATGTCAAATACAGTCAAAACCATGACAGTACATCTCAGATGAGTCGTATTAAGACAGTTTAGGCATATTCATCAATTAAATTTTCTCTTTAAATTCAACATTAATGCTAAGAAACAGAATAAAACATTGGTGTGAATTTTGTACATGGCTTATTTTTAAATTTTGCTTACATATGCTGTCCCAGAAGAAAAGAAAGAAAATTCAAGATAAATTATATGTAAATAATTTATCTTGAATTTTCTTTCTTTTCTTCTGGGACAGCATATGTAAGCAAACTTTAAAAACTTGAGCAAACGTGTAATAAATTATATGTTTGCTCAAGTTTAATTTGAGCAATGCACTGCATGACAATGACTGTAAATATATTTCTACAATTTAAAAATATAAAAAAATTGATTGAAAATTTTTGATGTAAATTTGAAAAATGTGATCCTAGGGAAAAATTCCTGTCCTTTTCAAGTTATTCAACCTCTTTGTTTTATAACCTAATTTACTTTTTTTAAATAAAGAAGTTTAAATATTTTAAATATGAACTATTATTGTGTTATATTCATGATAAAAATTAATTACAGAAGTTTTTTTCGTTAGCAAATCAATAAAAAAAATTATTTGTCTTCTCTTCATGCCGAGTCCTTTACCTTGAGATTATTTTATTCCCTATTAGTTTGTAAATCTAATCTACCTAAAAGGAGCAGTACATATTCATTGACTGCTTTGAATATGTACTGCCTCCCCCTTTTAGGCAGATTTACAAACTAACTGGGGGTAAAATAATCTCAAGGTAACGGACTTGACATGAAATGGAAGACAAATTATTTTTATTGAATTGCTATATTTATATCTAAAAATTTTCAATTTTTAAAAAATATTTTAAATTGTAGAAATATATTTATGCAACACATTGCTCAAATTCAACTTTAAATAATTTGTCTTAAATTTTATTTCTTTTATTCTGGGACAACATACGTAAGCAAAATTTGAAAATAGGCCACATATATAAATAATCTTGAGTAATACTATATGTGAAATTTTTGTACTTTTTTCTGCATAATGTAACATGAAAATCTAGAGACGATGTTCTACCGAAAAAATAAGAATACAGGGGCAAGTCTATTTAACATTGTGTAAATGAAATCATTGAGTAAACTAAATTAGCGAAATATTGCCAAGTTGGCGACAGTTTTGGCGACTAATTTTTATCGGATTACGGAGCTGAGCAGCCATTTTCCGCAATCGCGATCCTTGTTGCAAGCGATTGTCACTAAGCACCTGCTGTTCAAAAAATTGTGTGCCAGGTAGGTGCCAAAAACCCTGACACTCGAACACAAAATTGAACGCTTAAAAGCAGCACTGACATTTCTGCAACTGTATCAGGATGACGGCGACGAGTTTCTCGACAGGATCGTCGCGGGCAATGAGATTTTATTTTGCACTTCACCCCGGAAACCAAGCAGCAGTCAATGCATTGGCAGCATAGTGGATCTCCTGCCAGGATGAAATTCATACAGATGCTGTAGGTACAGAATGTGATGTGCACGGTGTTCTGGGAAAGGAAGGGCATTCTGTTTATTGAGTTCCTTCTACGTGGTGAAACAGTGACCGTTACTGTAAAACAATGCGGAAGTTTGTGTGACTACGGGTCATTAAGAAGTGGACTCATTTTGGCCTGGATGCATCAATGGATTGGGCGATGTGGACCATGGCTCCCACACTCACCGGATTTATCGAGCCTTGATTTCTTTTTGTGAGGCGCCATCAAAAGTGTCATGTATCACGATGCTGTTATGTCTGAAATGGATCTCGTGGCAAGACTCGCCTAAGCAGCTGCTACAACCAAAGAAACTCCCGGTGTGTTTGAACATGTCTGGCAATCGATGGTCAGTTGGCGTCAGGCATGTTTCGCGTCTGACGGTACAAACTTCGAACATCTGTTGTAACATTCAAGCTGTCGAAAACACCATTTGCATTCCTGTCCAATAAATGTTTCAAATTAATCACTTTCTTTTTTCCTTTCCTCTCTGCTGCCAATTACCCCTGACATTTCCGGGTATAGGTTCCTACGCAATTCTTAATCCTTATGATGTGCCCTATCTCCCCTAGGAGTCTGTCGCAACATTTACGGTACACCTTGTGTATTAGGAAACAAAAACTTTATTTGAAATCATAAAATTATAAATAATTCATAAGTTAACATTTCGGGAAAAAAACAAAACATAAGGAATCTAGAAATGAAACTTACATAGTAAGAACAGGGGCAATGTGGTCAAGATTTCCGATAAGAATGCCAAGTTCACATATAGCAAGAGTAAGAAAGAGCGCTCTCGTAGGTTCATTGCGAGAATTGCTAAACTCGAACACATTCAAAAATGGGATGATTCCATCCCTCGCTATAGCTTGAAGCAGACGTGGCGCACCTGAAAATAATATTAGATTTAATACAACCATAAAGAAAACTATCTGGAGAAAAATCATATACTGCTAAATATTTTTATTACATAAAATTACATGTTACTACATGAAACTGAAAATTTTAATAATATTACAATATTTATTTATAATGAACACTCTCTAAACTAATTTCCTATGGTTCCAGATGATTCTGTTTTTCTGTGTAGGTTTGCAAAAGCAACACTCATTCATATTTTCAGAAATACCAGTCCAAATATACCAGAAAATGCTTCGAACAGGTATACAGGGTATTTCAGCGCATCGGTTACAAACTTCCAGGACAGACAAGGGTACACCTACACGATGGAAAATCACACAGCAAATGCATAGTTAAAAAAGCTTTCCTGGTGCGTAATGACAAGAAGAAAGGAAAGGCGCAAACAAGAAAGGATTTTACTATTTTTAGTACAGAAATGAATGCTTTATTATGCTTAGTGCAGAAATTCTATACATTTGACAGATGCAAATCTCATCTTTTTACAGTAAGTATTATTATTATAAAAGTGTTCCGCCCTAAGGCACTACACGTAAGGGAGGTATGCCTTCGTGAGAGATTTTCTAAGGGGAAACTCGCTCGTATTAACACATTACACATGGGGAAAACTACGAGAACGCCCATGCAGTCAGCCCGTTCGTGGGATTCGAACCTCGGACTGAACTACCAGTGTTCAGGGACTTTACCGCAACCACTGGTGGGCCTTTCTTCCAGGACAGACAAGTATTGCCACATCTATTGGACGACCCATACATATCCGCTTCGATGCGTTCTCTGCCATATGGTTTTAGCACACTGAAGCCCCTCACATTACAGCCTTGATGTGCGTCTGCACTAGAATGCAATGTATCCTCAACAGTGGATCGGCAGGGATGGTCCGGTGCACTAGCCAGCAAGATCACCAGACCTCACTTATATTGACTACTTCCTCTGGAGGGGGTATGTGTAAACAATGGTGCACGAAACCCCCGTTATCAGCACTGAGGAACTTGTTGCACGCATCGTGGCAGCTGTTGCGGAAGTCTGAGACACTCCACATATTTTACAGAACACCAGATTCTCCATGTGACGTAGATGCGAGGCATGCATATCAAGCTCAGGTAGTAATTTCGAACACTTTCTTTGATGACGATCATTGTCTGTTTTTATTCTTGTTTTTTGGTTTCTGTTGTACTAAGCATAATAAAGATGTTTTTCTCACCCTGTTCGTGTCCTTTCTTTTTTTTTTATCACTGCCGCGCCAGGAAAGCGTTTCCGACCATGCATTGCTGTGTGATTTTCATCATCTGGGTGGAATTCCAGCAGGATGATGCTCTGTCCTGTTTACTTTTTAACCTGGCCCTTGAGAAAGTTATCAGAGCTTCTGGTCTTATGAATAGAGGAATCATTTACTACAAGACAATACAAATCGTGGCATTCGCCGACGACATTGCTTTAGTGGGTAGATCCAGAAAGTATGCCGCAGAATCATTCAATCTATTAGAAGCCGAGGCAAGAAAATTAAGCCTAACCACAAATAAAGATAAAACACAATTTTTAGAAATTGCCCATAAATCAGCTAATCCTTCGCCACTGACTGTGAACGAGTATACTTTTGAAAATGTGGCACAATTCAAATATCTTGGAACTACTGTCACTAATAATAATGATTTATCTATGGAAATTAATAACAGGCTCCTTATTGCAAACAAATGCTACCATGGTCTTAAAAATCAGTTCAGATCTCAAACAGATTTATCTTAAAAATCAGATTTATCTGCCGTTATACAAATATTAATCCCATCATACTGTATGGCTGTGAGTGCTAGGCAATGAACTAAAAATGACTGAAAGTAAACTACTGATCTTTGAACGTAAAAATACCAAGAAAAATGTTTGGTGCTGTTTGTGAAAATGGTGTTTTGAGATCAATGTCTAATAAAAAAAATACCAAAAATTGAGACAGCCTGATATTGCAAAGGTCATACAAAGCATTAGGATTCGATAGTTGGGTCATTTATATACCGGGTGGCCATAATTAAACTGACAGTGCTCACAGTGTTCTGTAGCGCGATCTATTTGCGAGAATGACACCACATTTTGTAGGAAGATTAAACATGATGGGGGACGAAGGATTCCGCGAAAAAAAAAAAGTTCCAAAAGTCACCGCTAGGGGAATATTTGGCGCTGTGTAATAGGAAATAGAGTGTTAACAAATGCAAATTAATACGGAATAAAATTACCTTTTATTATGGATATGCCTTATGGAATATGGATATGCCTTACAGAACGGTATGGAAAATCTTACGAAAGATTATCAACTTCTATCCGTACAAGATCAGCCGTGTACAGGAGTTACTGTACCCCGACCACGATAAGCGATTGACTTTTGCTCTCACCTTTCTTGCCAGAATGGAGGTGGATGATGCTTGGCCGTGATGGATGATCTTATGGGGAGACGAGGCCCACTTTTACCTAAATGGAACTGTGAATACCCAGAACTGCCGAACTTGGATGACAAATCACCACATGCAGTCACAGCAATTCCCTTACATTCACCAAAGGTAACTTTTGGTGTGGGTTCACAGCGGAATTTATCGTAGGTCCATTCTTCTATGAGAACATTACCCCGACAGGACCGGAAACCTGTTCTGTTATCGGAGAGAAATATCGCCACATGTTGAACAGCTTTGTTATTCCGTCACTTCAGCAAAGACAATGCCTGGGGGAAATCATTTTCATGCAAAATGGAGCCCCTCCACACGTTGCTGTACGGGTGCAACAGAGGCTACGACAGAAATTCACAACAGAAAGAGCCATTAGCCGCAACTTTCCAACTGCATGGCCACCTCGGTCGCCTGATCTTACCCCATGCGACTTCTGGCTATGGGTTACCTTAAGTCCAAGGTCTATCAAGGAGTGGTCTAGGACCTGGTTACATTGAAGGATAACATATCACGGACTGTACGGGAGATTCCTGTAGACATGTTACTTTCTGCTGTTGTGCATACTGTGCACAGAATGCAATATGTGGTCCACAACAATGGCAGCCACATTGAACCTCATTTGAATGCAAAATAAAAGGTAATTTCAGTATTGATTTGCATTTGTTAACACTCTATTTTCTATTACACAGCGCCAAATATTCCCCTAGCGGTGACTTTTGGAACTAATTTTTTTTTTCACGGAATCCTTCGTCCCCCGTCTTGTTTAATCTTCCTACAAAATGTGGCGTCATTATCGCAAATAGATCGCGCTACAGAACACTGTGAGCACTGTCAGTTTAATTATGGCCACCCGTTAGAACTGAAGACGCAAACCCAGTAAAACAACTCACATTTACCAAACGCATGGGAGGTAGAAAGCGAGGAAAGCCACCAATTCGGTGGCTTGAGGTTGTTGAGGATGACATTAATACCATACAGAGGAGAGACTAGAGGAATATTGCCATGAATAGGTCCAGATGGCATAGAGTCACTGAGATGGCCTTGGCCAGCAGTAGGCGGTAGTACCTCAGAAGAAGAAGAAGAAGAACGTGTAGTTTATCTGTCCTGAAAGTTTGTAACCATTGGTTTGAAACACCCTGTATGTACAAATGGGTTTGTTCATAAAGTAAGCACAGATCGGCTTATTTCAGTTTCTTTTCTTATGAGATTCATTATGGGACATGGCCCTTTTCCTTCTTACTTTGCGGAAAGAGGTATAAGCACAACATAGTATATCTGCATATGTGGCTACACAGGACTTCCAGACCATTACCTCACGAAGTGCCCCCTGACTAAGAGCTGACCCATTAAGTTGCCTACAACGGAGGTAGCCATTTTCAAACGCTTCCTGATTAAGCAGCTGTCATTGCTTAAAAAACTGCATAGTATCATGACGAAGCTAAAGGCGCTGGGGCAGGACCTTTGTCGTCCAGAGTGTGATACCCACAAAGTCTTCTAGCCATTGCCTGTATACATGAAAGCTGTTTCCCACTTTAAAGTAAAGTACTATTTCCATTAGTCACAATGTAGATACTAACTCCTAAACAAGTCACCGTACATACCGCACATAATTAGTGTAGCCACTCTAAACAACGTGAAATGTGTACTGTGGAATAATAGTAAAGGATAGTTGCAGGGTTCGGACATCACCGAGTAGCCTTAGAAAGCTGTCCGGGTATCCGGCCCTGCTGTCACCTGTATATACAAATGGAAAAGAAATCAGGTCTTCATCTCTACATTATTCAGTTTAATTCCAGTAGCCTAGAAACTGTTTAGAATGATGGTGATCTACCGTTACTAGGTTAATAAGATTTATTCAGTGTAGTTCTTCATTGAAACCCTTTAATCGGCAAGGCCGCATATATACGGCCAAGAATATTTTTTGTGATATCCGCAAGAACGTATATATACGTGCATATTAATATATGTCAAAGAAATTAAGGCAATAATATATCAAAAGTACACAAATGCAGGTATAAATTACCAGAAGAATTTTTACATCAAAATAAAGAAAGTAATTTTTTCTCATAGTACTTTTGGGAAATTTGTACTTTCTAAGAGAAAACCCTGGCCGGTTAGAGGATTTTAAATTTGGATTTTATTCTAACAGTGCATACAAGAAAAAACCGAATTATTTATTGAAAAACCCAATACAAGTATTTTGAAGCTATAACATAAAATAATAATTTAAAAAATAATTGATTTATTGAATTTTATGGCACACAAGCCAGAGTATGATTATCATTTGCAAAATACCACATATAAAATTTGCACAATCCTAATAACAACAGATACAAAAGAATATAAATTTCATTATATAAAAATATTTGATTTTTAGCTTTGCATGAATCCCGGAAATTACAAAAATAATCTTGTTACCTGTTAAAGATTGAATGCCTGCACCAATCGTAGACAGCAAAGACCCAATGACGATCACTAGGGGGTGAGGCCAAGCAAGTAAGGCTACTGCTAGGCTTCCCCCTACACTCTCGCCAAATCTGGAATTGAAACAAACAAATAAATATCATACTTATTAAAAATCTTCGAAAATGAAATTTATTTTGAAATTATGAGTTTCAATTAAGCATAAAACTTTTCAAAAGTGTTCAAAAGGAACAGCATGTTCATAATTAGGTATGTTATCCAACCAAGCATAAATAGTGTTATAAGACATTTCTCCCGTGTGATTTACGGTCAGTGATACGTTTTTTTGTCTACAAGAAACCTGTCTGCTGCAGTTATTCACCGACAGATTTGTGATGTTTACAGAGCTACTGCCATGAGTGAAGGTAAAGTGCGTGAGTGGATCAGAGATTTCAAAGCTGGCCGCGACTACGTCCACGATGAGTCCCGCTCCGGTCCCCCATCTGTGATCACAGACGATATGGTGACTTCCAGTTGAAGGAAAAATTCTCGACAACGGACGTTTCACCGTAAGCACTCTTTCAAACGAATTTCCTGGGGTGTCTAGGTCAGTGCTGTAGAAGATTGTTTCTGAAAAGTTAAGGAACTTAAGAAACTTAACTCTTAACGGAGGACCAGTGCTGCCACATTGTGAAATTTTTCGCAAAATTGAGACTTTTGACAAACTTGTGCTAGTAAAATTTTAGTATTTGCGATTTTGCGAAATTTTTGCGACCTCTGTCATTTCCTCATGCTACATTTTGCAACAAACATTTTTATAATATATCATATAATGCTTTGTAAAACACAGAATTAGGTACCTTAATATTAATATTCACGATTTTAGTGCTCTACCTATTTTGTTTTTAGGACAGTCTTGCCCTCTCAGTTCTATGGTGATAACAAATTGAACAAATGAACTTGCAGCTTGCGCGCCATACACTGGGTACCAAAACAGAGAGAAATAAAATTCATCCTCTTGATCAAAATATAGCTAAGAACTAAGAAATAGAAATGATTTAAAAATCAAAGCAACTGCATTTTTCCAAATAACAACGTAAATAAATTTAGCAGTGAAAGAACAAACAAGGCTTTCTTAAGTAATCAGAATCTGAAATAAATCCACCACGCAGGGCCTCTGACGTCATTTGCGACTTTTTGAGCCTTCCTTTGCTATTTTAGCTGAAAAATTTCTGGCAACACTGCGGAGGACCACAAAACAAAAGATCTGAGTGTTCGTTGAATTTGTTGACTCGTTATAACGAAAAAGGTGATGCCATTTGGAGTCGGATCGTAACGGGAGACGAAACGTGGGTTTGACATGTAACGCCCGAATGGAAGCAACAGAGTATGGAGTGGAGACACACAGACTCTCCTGTATGGGTCAAGGACAAACAGACTCTGTCCCAGCACAAGATCATGGCATCCGTGATTTGGGATAGGCACATAGGTGTTTTGTTGGTCGACATCATGCAGGTCACAACCACTATAAATGCGAAGCCTACGGCTAAACCTTGCTAAAGCTACGCATGCGATTAAAAAAAAAAAAAGATGAGGCATGCGGCATGCATGATACGTGTTTAAAAAAACTTGGCAACTATGTTGAAAAATAGAGAAGTATATGTAGAATCTGAAAAAAAAAAATGGTTTGTGAAAAGTTTCTTTCGTTCGGTTTTTATTTCAAACAACCCTTACTTAAAAAACACCCATCGTTCGTTTACCCTTATTATCGTACGAGTGTAGCATTATATATAAATAAATTACATTAAATTTTATATGCATGCATCAGTTTATATATATATATAAATAACACCATATGTAAATAACATATTTATATATAGTATTATATAAATATATTTATTTGTATATAGTATTATACATAAGTACTTTATTTATATATAATACTAAATACTGTAGAGACATTAGGTTATTTGGAGGCAGGTGATGGTGAAAAATGAGCAACGCCTTCGCCGGAACTCGAACCACAGGCCTCTCGAATACGCGCCAAGCGTGCTGACCACTACATTACGAAGGCGGGAGAAATACCTCATTATTTATTTATATGAATTGTTTCACAAGAGACCACTACACTACGAAGGCATGCTAGGGCGGCGGGAGAAAAACCTTATAATATATGAATTATTTCACAAGAATATAGTAAAAAAACTACTCAACTTCACCTAGTTTAGCAAATGCTAGTCCAACTCAGGAATTCAAATATATAGTTCTAGGTAAGTTAAATTAAAACTTGCTATCTACTAACCTTTTTATTATTAATGTTATATTTCAATAGATTGTATATAGTTTATTTTAGGTTTACATGCATAACTCGTGTAGAGGAAGTTTTCAGTAGGCAAGAGTTTCTAAATTACTTTGGTTTTCTAAAAAATTTGATTTTCCACTCTTAATTGACATTTAATTAATTTTAATTCTAGTTATTTACTTGCTAATTTCTCAAAATTTCACTAGTTTAAATTTCCTTTTAGTAATTCACAATATTTAGTTTTACGTTGGGTTTTGAATTTTACTTTTACCATTGCCTATATGGATGACGAAACACGAATTGAGTAATTGAAGAGTTAAGTTTGGAGGCAAATTCCCGTTGATAAGTGTGTCACCTGCCTGCTCAACAATTATTCACTCATACAATTTAATTTTTTGGAATAATATATTTTTTCATGGTTTTAGATACGTGCATTTAATTTACATATGCTCTTAGAATTTAAATGATATTGTAAATTAGTTCGCAGCAATAATAAATTTTATTAATTTTTTATTTTTGGAATTAAAATTAATTAAATTTTAATTTTATATTAGCTTTATACGAATAGAGAATATTTGTTAAATTCAATTATTTATATGAATGAAAAATATTTATATTTGAAATATATTTTATATGATATATTGTTACGAAATGTACAGGCGCGGTAAGATGGCCTCCCAGAAAATCAGTTTTAGGGTTGCCCATAAAAAGGCAAGTAAAGGCAGGGTTGCCACATATGGAGAGAAATCGCCCATTTGGCGATAAAATTGGCGATATGACATGGACGCATAGAGAACCTTCTGGAACGAATTCTTACCGGTTTAGACCAAAATGTTGTCGAACACAAGCCGAAAGCTATATAAACTCTGCTGGTCCGCAGTCAGTTTGAGTGTGTGTGCCTCGTCTAGAGAGCGAATTAGTTAGTATCGAATTGGTGTCTTGTTTAGCGAGTCAATCCCTGCAGAGTCGATTGAGTCGACAACCGGGCAGCTAGTGCCGACTGGGTCGTTGAGTTCACCGAAGGAGTGTATCGCGGTTAGCGCATCGTCGAGAGATCGTGTTGAGCTCCGGGAGCGACTAAACCGAAGAGTCGGGAGCCGTGCTCTGTATGTCGTCGAGTGCATTGCGAGTTGTAGAGTGGAGAGCCTCGAGAGTACGTGGAGTTCCGAGAACGGCCGAGCAGAGTCGGGAGCTGTATTCTGGTGCTTTGTGGTAAAGCTGTCTCCACCGTTATTGCCTGACAGTGTGAAGGCTGAACTGTCGCTGAACGTGTCAGCTTGTTTATAACAGTTCGACGACTGTAAAAGTGATTTTGGAGCTATCTGATTAATACTGGAAAATAAAATGTGTCCAAATCCACACGAACCCCGTACGAACGTGAAGGAAGTAAATAACCTAACAACTGGTGTCAGAAAAGAAAAACGTAACAACTGGTGTCAGAAGTGGGATTTGCGAGTGAATGCCAGTTATTCGCGTGCAGAGGAAAGCTATGGGGGAGGAAACGAAGATTTTGATGGACTTTTTAGTCGAGATGAGGGCTGAGATGAAAGCCGAGCAGGAGGAGATAAAGGCTGAAATCAAAGCCTGACTGAAGGAGATCAAAGCTACACTGGAAGCAAAGAAAGCCCGACGAGAAGTAATAAATGTGGGCCATAAAAGGTGCGAGATCAACTCCAACAGGTGAAAGTGGAACTTACAGAAGAAACTGGAGCTATAAAAGACGATGTGGAAATGAGAGAAATGGCTTCTGAAGAGCCAAAGCATGAAGAAATGAAGAAAGTAGTTAACGAACTGGCTGAAAAAGATCAAGAAATGATGGATGAAACATCTAACGGGATTAAAGAAAAAGAACGAAAATATGAAGAAATAAAAGACGGGTAAGAAGTTTTTGATTCTCAAGTGCCTGAAGTGGAAGAAAGTGAAAATGCGACTGTTAAGTTGCTCAAAATTGATAGTGAAGTTACGAAGTCGCAGGCAGTTAAGTGTTGAACCATCTCAAAGTGCAAGTGATGCAGAGATGGGAGAAGCTGATGTACAATTTACGCAGAGTGCTCCAGTATTGCAAGAAAATTCGCCCACTTCGCAAACTATGTGTGCGTCTCATAGTGCAGATTTTGCAGACTAGGACTTGAGTCTAAACCAGGACACTTGCGTTTGTAAGGTATCGGGCTCCGTTCATGTCTCTGATGCAGAATTTGAAGCTAGTTCCGAGGAAACGGAGGAAAATGTTCATGTACCAGCTGCTGAAAATACCGATGGGAACTGTACACATGACGCGAACAATTTTCAGAGTGGTGAGCAAACTGTTTCAGATCTTTCTGTGGATGGAAAGTTTCAAAGAACTGAATCTTCAGACTGTGATATGCAAAACATAAATATATCTGAGAACTGCAGTGGAAAAGTATTTGACCCGGGTATATTTTAGTGAATAGACTGAGACTGAAATTCATTCAAAATTTTAATTTAAAATATTTATGTGTTTAATTTGTGTATATAACTTGCACCTAGTGTAAATAATGTTTCTTTGTTTACGTTATTTGTATGCTTTAAAACGTTTTGTTTGTATCGAATTAGGCTTCTGAACAAGGGTTGTATTGCCCGGGACGTACAGGCCTTCGGAGGGGGCAATGTTACGAAATGCACAGGCGCGGTAAGATGGCCTCCCTGCAAAGCAGTTTTAGGGTTGCCACATTTGGCGAGAAATCGCCCATTTAGCGACAAAATTGGTGATATGACATGGACGCATAGAGAACCTTCCGGAACGAATTCTTACCGTTTTAGACCAGAATGTTCTCGAACACAAGCCGAAAGCTATATAAACCCTGTTGGTCCGCAGTCAGAGTGTGTGCGCCTTGTCTAGAGTGCGAGTTAGTTAGTATTGAGTTGGTGTCTCGTCTAGCGAGTCAATCCCTGCGGAGTCGATCGAGTTGACAGCCGGGCAGCGAATGCCGAGTGGGTCGTCGAGTTCACCGAAGGAGTCTCTTAGTATATCGCGGTTAACGCATCGTCGAGAGATCGTGTTGAGGTCCGGAAACGACTAAACCGAAGAGTCGGGAGCCGTGCTCTGTGTGTCGTCGAGTGCATAGCGTGTTGTAGCTTGGAGAGTCTCGAGAGTACGGGGAGTTCCGAGAACGGCCGAGCAGAGTCGGAAGCTGTACTCTGGGGCTTTGCGGTGAAGCTGTATCCACCGTTATTGCCTGACAGTGTGAAGGCTGTGTCACTGAACGTGTCAGCTTGTTTATAACAGTTCGACGACTGTAAAAGTGATTTTGGAGCTATCTGATTAATACTAGCAAATAAATGTGTTCGATACTTCTCAAGTGTGTCGTCGTAATTCACCCAAATCCACGAACCATGTACGAACGTGAGGAAGAAAATAACGTACAAACTGGTGTCAGAAAAGAAAAACGTAACAATACATAAATATTTTATTTATATATAATACTATATACAGTACAAAGTTCGTAATCCGGATTCGTCGGGATTTCGGCGATTCCGGATTATAGATCATCGATTTAAATCTGGTAAGATTGCATGCAGAAATTATACAATTAAAAATATGAAACCGTAATTTATGAAATAAAGAGCAATTATGATCTAAAGGGTATCAAAATTTGCAAAAGAAGCTTAATATTTATTTGTTTACTTTATTAAACATTCATCACTTTGTCATGATCGTCATTTTTAGCATAACGAACCCTTTTTCTGTTAGTCATTGCAAGTGGGGTGTCGGAATCCACAAAATATTCAAAAGTTCCTTTTCTTTTGCTTATGTCATATACAGTTTGACTTTTCCAATGTCATACTCCTCGCATAATTTCGAGATGGACTTATCCATTTTTTGCAGCAATTCCACTTTTTGTTTCATGGACATCAAAACATGCTTTCTCTTTGTAGATCCTTTGGCAGCTCCAGAATTTGAAACTCTTTTTGACATAACCGAAAATTCAAGCTTACTTTTTTTTATAAAATTGCTCTAACAGTCTGCAAAAAATAATAGGCCGGAACAGCGCAATCTGCAACATTAACTGAAATGCCTTAGATAATTTTAGCCTAGCTTATACCGTCCGTTATACATTAAACGCCCTTGCGTAAACACGCATATGCGCACGCGTAAACGCATTATGCGCATGCGTAAACGCATTATAATTATGCATGAGTATAAAGTTTGTAGCTTTGATGTCCGGATTATAGATCATTCCGTATTATGCACGTCCGGATTAGAGACTTTGTACTGTATGAATAAAAACTGATGCATAATTTTAAGAAGCACGGGCTTAAACATTCTAAGTATGTTATTCAGGATTGAGATGAAAATATAATAGAAAACTAAGAAAAATATTAGTGTCTGCTAACTTACTTGTCTCGAAGGAAAAGATTGTCGTAAGAACCAGCAAATAAAAATACACCAGAACAATCTGTGAGATAATTAAGGTCTCTTTAACAACGATTAATAATAAGCTGGATATGCAAAACATTTTATTGAGTAATAAAAGTTCTCAATAAATTTTAAATTAAAAGTTCTACTGTTGTGAAAAGTAATCATCAAGATTCCCAGAAGGTCATTTTAATTTTTAGGCAACATAAATTGAAAGTAATATTGACTTATAAACGATTCCAATTAACTGGAAATATTTTTTACGGAAATTATTTTTGAATATTTATATACTAATACTAGCAGTAACTATTATCAGCACGCTTAAATATTGCATTATAAAACAAAATTACACTTTTGGGTTTTGAAGTGCGAAAGGTGAAGATAAATGATATCAGAGTCAATAAAATAATAGTATAATACAAAAGTGATATTTTAAGACATACATAAATGTTCAGTCGTATTTGTTTAAGCTTATATGGAAAAATCATATACGATAGAGTAAACGAAATTGTTAGTACTAGTTAAAGGAATATAAACTACTTAATATAAACTAAAAACGTTGAAATTAATATGTTATCTGGCTAATGATCTGGCATCAGTAAAATTAAATCTATTAAAAAAATCTATTATTAAGCACATAAAATATTTTAAATTTAACACAGGGCGAATTTGAACAAGGGCGCCAATTTTTAGGGAGGAGGTGACAAAAGGCACCTTACGAGCAATATTCGTCATAGAATTCGTCAGAACGCAAGCGGTGAGATGTTAAGGGACAGTTCTCCACCACCACATTTAAAGAATTAACGCAAGAATGAAAGGACATACTTCAGCAAACATTTTATTAACAGGAATGTAAGTAATGTACATTGCACAATAAAAAAATGGAGGAGGGGACAGTTCTACATCTCTCCCTTTCTACTGGGCCAGTTGACAATATTCAAATAGCATTTTCCACGTCTCGAAAGCGCGACTTAGGATATGTATTAGATTTATATATAGCTTTGTTCTAACATAGGTATTTTCACAGACAATCCGACTTTTCTTGAAATGACATGCCATTTTTTTTCTATATTTCGATTCTACTACTCAAATTATGCCTAAATATTAAATTTTATTAAATTTGGTGCGAAATTTACGGAGAAATTCAAAAATTTATTTTGGCGTATTATTTTCAGTTTTCGCCAAAAATAATTTACTTGGCGAACTTCTTAATTTATAGCAACCCATTTTCCTTTTCTTTTTTTCATTGTAAACGAGCGGAAAAAAAGCCATCCTTCATACTTTCAAATAATTTTAACAAAGTGCATACAATTATCGCTTATAATAAATACCCCAAATTTCAAAACGTGCGAAAGTGTGAATTCACGTATATCTTAGGAAAGTATGAATAAAAAAGTCTAATTTTTTGCAGGTATGCTTAGAAATACATCTACTTTAAGATGATGGCAAAACTTTTATAGGTTATAATTTAAAATGTATTTTCGAAAAATTTATAAAAATTATTTAAAAAATAAATCATAAAAAATGGGCGAATTTTATTTGGAATGAACCTAAATTACGAAATATGAAAGGAAGAATGAAATAAGTTTAATAAAAGAAGATATATTAATAAATATATATCAAATTCAATTAACATTGAGGAGCTAAAATTTGAGAGCTAATTGTTTAAAAAAGTACTCGTGCGATTTTTACAAAATTTGGCAGTTTGGCATAATTTGAGTCGTAGAATCGAAATATGGAAAAAATTCGCATGCCATTTCGGAAAAAAAGTCAGATTTTGTGTTAAAATACCTGTATTAGAACAATGCTACATATAAATCTAATACATATCCTAAATCGTGTTTTCGAGACATGAAAAACGCAAGTTGAATTTCATCAATCGGCACACTAGAACGGGAGAAGAACTGCCCCTCCCCCTTTTTTTGCGCAGTGTACATGGCCGAAGAAATTGCTCATCTCCTTTAGCTGAAACGCAGGCTTCACCTGCGGAATACGAATTAACGCACGTTTGCCAAGACAAGCGACAAGCAACGGAGGACGTGGACACTGTCCTTTTACATAATGGTTACATAATGGTTCAGCACCACGTCCACCATTATCTAGAGCGGCCCAGAGGAAGAAGTGTAGTACAAAGGACTTAGACCTTTCCTAGTTTACAGTGCAGATGATATTGTTGTGCATAATGCGCCACAGGTGTCCACAGATATATATATAAGCCCATTACAATGTGCAAATGGCTTATTTATGCCTTATGAATAAGCTGATGACATGGATTTGCACAGTACACACTCAACTCGTATCTTATAAACACATTAGGTATACACATACATTACAATGTACGCTATACAACAGACGTATGCCATACTTAAGCGTGTGATTATGCTGACGACCAGGGTATGCAGGATGGTTTACAATACAGGTAACGTTATAATCACATGTTACGTGGTTACAATTACCCATACATTACAGTTACTTTGTAATTACGTATGCATTACAATACTCTTACATTATAAATGCATTAGAATTACACATACATGACGATATACGCAATACAATAAACGTATGCCATATATTTAAGCGTATGGATTATGCAGGATTGTTATAAAGTTCAGGTAGCGTCACAGTCACATGATACATGGGTACAATTACACGTACATTACAGTTTTTTTTATTACATATACATTACAGTTATTTTGCAATTACACATACATTACAATATTCTTACATTAAAAATACATTAGAATTACACATACCTTAGAATATACACTATACAGTAAGCGACGTTTGCCAAGACACCAGACAATTAATGACTATCGCCGGCAATAACGGCGATCCAAGCGACTAGATCCATATCGATTTCAACGGCAGACGTAGATTTGGCTTTTCATATGGCCCCACAGAAAAAGTCCAAACACGAGAGATCCGATAATCTTGGCGGCCAAGCTATGGAACCACCGCCGTTGTGCTGGAAAGGCCATACCTTTTATACCATTTACAATGCTACCTAGCGTTCCGAGCATACATTCTAGGGCGAATATTGCTCGTATAGTTGATCATAGGGGGATCGCTATCACCCTCTTAAGGTTTGCTCCCTTCTTCAGGTTCACCCTGTATACGAATCAAATTATGCATACTAAACAAGATCCCAGTGCTGTCAGAAAATAATTTCGAATGCACACTCACTAGTAAATGACAGAGATTTATGTAAAATTAAATACACTGAAGTTATAGTTCCATCATCATCTGTTAACAACTTCCAAAACTGACAGTTTCAAGAAAGCTTTGTAGCCATACGTTCAATATTATGAATATTTGAACATATGCCCTTAGTATATCACAGCGTAATAAAATTCGAAGTTTAACTCTCAAGTATTCGCTGACAGTGAATACTCCAACTATCACCTTCAGTGCGTACAAATCCACAATTCCGGCAGAGAGAAAGAAGTCATATTTACATATGAATAATAATTTCAATAAGATTTGAAATTATTTAATTATTATAGTTCGGAGTTAAAAGAAAGAACCAAAAGTGTTTCAAACCAACTCCCTAAAAAGTTGGAGTTATTTGAGAAGAAAAATCAATCCTTGATACTAGATATTTTTAGAGAATGTGCTGACGTAAACATTAGAAATTTATTTTTCGAAAGAAGCAGAACAAAGCTACATTTGTTAATCGAATAAAGTACTTTTACTGGTAGTAACCAAAAGAAAAATATTTCATCGGATATTTACTGCCAAGAAATCTGCAAAAAAAAAAAAAAAAATTTTTTTAAAGTTTTTTTTTTGAGTTTTGAAGTACCAAGAAATGTTTATCGAGTACAATGATTAAAAAATGGAAACAGATGACGAGAATATTTAATTCACTATTGAGTACCGAAATAAAATCCATAATTTAACAACAACAGATTTTATTGAAGTGACAGTTTCAGTTGAGAATAAGAAAAGGTTCAAATAATAATGTTTTAATTAATTGATTAAACGAATTAATTTTTAGTTATTGTACCATATTATTTAGGTATTTTCAACAAAGCAATTCTTTAGAATTTTTGAAATTTGAAACGAGTCCTCAGGAAGCGGATATTTAAAGAGGGTTGTTCACCCATTTTTGTAACGATTTTGCTAACATTTATATATAAACGAACATTAGAATTTTATTTTCTAATATGTTCAGAGTGATAGCCCTTTTGTTGAACTATCATATTACATCTTGATTTCCAAGATAAAAGTCCTTGTCTTAAAGCAACGAAATTGATTTTATTTAACTGCTACATCCCAATCTTCCAGAGCGCATCCAATAATTTGAGATGTTTTATATAAAGAGCTTGTTTTAAAAGTCCAAATGCACAGTAATCCATTGGAGACACATCAGAGGACTTGGGTGGGATGCATTTACAGGGAATGGCTTCAATTCCGGTTTCATTTCTCATTTTTTCAAACAAATAGAGAAGTAGATTTAGAGGTATGGCTTGGAGACTCATGTCCTAATGGAACGTAACACAGTGAAGATTGCTTGGATAAAGAGATGGAATTTCCTCTTTAAAAATAAATGTTAAAACATATTTCTGATAGTAATCCGAATTAATTTTGACAGTTCTTTCTACTTTCCTTATTTTAAGTTTTTGTTATAAGAGAATACATTAATAACCATAAAAACCCTTAGAAAAATTTTTCTCGTTTCCTCTGAATCAATATATTAAGAGACTTTCTATCCTCTTTTTGGGTAGCAAATCGACCTTTTTCTATTTCAATAAGTATATCTGAGCCTCATCAACTATAACTATATATTTCTATTTTTCGCTTGCCAAATAATTTTAGTCTTACGCCGAAAACCATGTTTCTGCGTTAGGGCAATGAACATCATTTTTTTTTTGTTTGTTTGTTTTAATTAGCTTTAAATCAGATTTTATAATTTTGTTCATAGTTTCTATAGAGGAGGACTTTCTAAGGGAAACTGGCTCGTATACACGTTACACATGGAGAAAAACACGAAAACACCCATGCAGCCAGCCCGTTCGAGGAATTCGAACCTCGGACCGAACTACCAGTGTTCAGCGACTTTATCGCTCGGCCGCTGGTGGGCCCTTTTTGGAGAGTTGGATTTTCCATTAAAATTATGAAATGCGACTGTAGATTTAATAAGATGAGCTGTACGTACCTTTGTTGGGTATGCATTTTTTGCTTTTATCCCAGTCACATATAAACTTTGATGTTTCTTTCCTTTTATATGCAGTATGTTACTTATTTTATAAGATATTGCTTCCGCCTTCTTGGAGTGGTGGTCTGCACGCTGGGCGCGTATTCTAGAGGTCCGCAGTTCGATTCCCGGTGAAGCCGTTGCACATTTTTCATCTTGCCTGCTTCCTAAGTTTCCTAATGTCTCTACAGTTTTACTTGTAGAAATATTAAAACCATGCTTTTAACATTTTTTTTAATAATTGAATAAGAGTAGTTTTCTTCGGACAGCACCAAAATATAGCCTCCGATCCATAGTTTATTTTTCAGCGACATTTTAAAGAAAAGAATATTTTTAAATGCTGTAGACGATAATTAAACCTTATTCCAATTTGACGCCAGTCAAGTTTGTATTTTCAATTTAATATTTAAATTCATGGAGAAAATCAAAATCGTTACGAAAACGTGTAAAAACTCTCTGCTCAGTTGCAAATTACAGGTTAAAGACTTAATTGCAGGTTTGTTTTTGTTACAGATTGTTTACACATTTTGAAAGCACCTTTCCTTTTACACATACATGAGATACGACAATTTTTCTAGTTTTTTTAATTGTTGATGTTTAAATTAAACATGTTTTGTATATTCTGTACAAAACTATCGTTTGGTACTAGTTTAGGATGTGATGTTAAGGTATCACGAGCAACTTACAAATCCATAGAAACATGGAACATGGAAGCGAGATTATTTATTGAAATCTCCAGTACATAAAATAAATTTTGTTGGGCAGTTGTTAAATTCTAAAAAACGCTTAATAATGAAGCTGCATTAACATAAGTGCCTCCTTTTGAATGAGACCTCGGTCTTTTTATGAATAATTAGAGGAAAACGACAAAATGCAGAGTTTGTTTCTTAGTCGATACATATCCAATTAAAGTACGGTGAATGAATACGTATTATGCCATATGTATTAAAAATACATAATACATACTGCAACCAATCCTTTAATATAAACTCTGCTGCTAATATAAACTGTTGGATTATCTGTAACAACAAGGGTGCCTTCTGGTGACTAGCCAGAGAAGGATTTCAGTAAAAGCCAAGTGTTTAACCTGATGGGTTGTTTTCAGACTTTTGCTCTGTAATTTTTTTAAAGTTTAACGTAATGTCCGTGTGTAACTTAAACCTGTTAATAAATAATTGTTACACTATAAAGGACTCTTATATGACCCTTTCCAACATGACCTCCTTATAAAAAGACGCCCAACGTTAATAGTATAAACTGCTGAACTAACTGTAAATACAAGGGCGCCCTCTGGTGAGTAGCCAGAGAAGGACTTCAGTAAAAGCCAAGTGTTTAACCTGATAGGTTGTTTTCAGGCTTCTGCTCTGTAATTTTCTTAAAGTTAAATGTAATGTCCTTATGTAACTTAAACCTGTTAATAAATAATTGTTACACTATAAAGGACTCTTATATGATTCTATCCAACACGAACCCCTTATAATACGAATTTATGCATACCTGAAAACAAGTCAATCATATTGAATAATTAGGTTTTATTTTTCGTAACGAGATTAATTTTTTTTCATTCTTATCTAATGCATGTCGAACTAACAGTGGAAAACTCTTTCTACTACATTAATTTAAAAATATTAGTTATGATGTAAAAGATACATGCTGAAAGTGATCCTTAGCATTTAATGCAATTTTAGGCTAGATACCAATTTCCTCTGTCTCAAAGAATTATTACTATGCGCTTTTCTATTAAATTATGAAAACCTACATACAAGTAATATTCTGTGAACAAGAAGTATTTTCGAGAAATCATTTCAGAAAGGATACACACAAAAGAAGTAGTAAGCTGGGCAGCTAGAGTTCCTGCTGGGATTGATTTCTGAGCATCAGCTAAGTCCCCGGATCGATTGGAGCCAGCCATGATACCTGGAAGTAAAAGGAAATAATTGTTCGCATTAAAATCGAAATTTTTCATATTTTAATTTCTACTAGCAAGCCCGCCAGATGAGCGGGCTGCAACCAAAGCAGAATTTGTAAGTTCTATGTACCTCTGAAAAACAAATTTATAAAAACATTTCAATATGAAGGAAATCAGTTCATATTTTCCAAGCAACAACACATTCAAAAATAATTTTGTAGTTGCTGAAGCAGAAAATAAAAACGTTTGATACTTCAGGTCAATATATATGCCGTCATGATTTAAATTTTAATGTAACATAACAACATTTCCTCAATATCAATAAAAGAACTAACATGGTTATAACATATTCTGCCAATTATACTAACCTGAAACAAAAAAGTTGCCAACAGCAGCTATTTATTTAAAATGTTGACATTAATGAAAAATTTTCGGCAGACAGTAACGCCACTTGCAATTGTGTCCTTTCTTCAGCATCAGAATATGACCTTATACAATGTTTGGCAATATTATTTTTATTTCATATTTTGTAAAACTTACAAATTTATGATTAACAAACTCTGCGATTTGAAAGCGAGCACTGGCAACAGTTTTCGATATAAAGCATTTTTATCTCCTACGTGCGAGATTGTTGCCACTCGGAAAAATGAGAGCGAAAATTAGCGTTTTCAGTGTTTTAAATTAATATCTCGTCTGATTAAAGCCCTACGAAGATGGAAACAGTCGAAATGGCTTCATACGAAATTTTGGAATCCGAAATAATATATTAAATGTTCGGCACTGCTATTTTTATTTCATATTTTGTGAATCTTTCAATTTTTTTTATTAACAAATTCTACGATTTGAAAGCGAGCAGTGGCAACGCTTCTCAATATAAAGCAGATTTTTACAAGGAGGCTAGAATAGACCTATCTGTTTTTATCTGCGATATTGTTGCCAATAGTAAAAAATCTGATGTGTAGACCACATGACTTTGTACGGAATATTAAATTATACGCATTTTTTCTTGCATTTCGTTTAAACTTATTGGATTGAACCTACTTCGTCGACAGCGCATAAACCACAATAGATTAAATGCATTCTTTAAAATTCACTCTATTTGTTTACCATAGCCACACTCTGGCGCTAGATTCATTTAACAGTATTATATTTCGTTCATATTATAATTCAGAATACACAAAATTTATATCATTTAAAGAATTATCTAATCGTTGCCACATGTTCTATTCAAATACTAAAATCTAGAACATGTATATAAAATAATAGAATAATAGAATAAATCTAGAACGATGTATAAAAGAAATTAAGCAAACAAAACAAAAAAGAAACTGTTTTTCACAGACGATTGAGTATTTCTCATTCAATTAATTCAGTTCTCACTTCCCGACAAGGCAAAAATACATAAAAACTCAAAATATATGTATTAAAAATTACGAAGTAAATCTTAAACACTTATTTCCTCGAAAAAAATTCCAGGAAGGATTACGCATGATTTAATTCACAATAATAAATGAAGGCGTTATCTTTGTTGTTGCGAAGCTAAGTTTCTCTAGATTAGCAACAAATCCACTAGTCTGCTGTTTCAAATGTCAACAATCAATGGCCGCCTTAAAAAAAGGCTTAGCGGCACTTAAACAACTTTAAAATTGTTGATAATTCTAAATCTATTGCACACAGATTTACTAAAGGCATAAAAACCTTAACCGGAAGATAAGAACAACATAATTCAATCATTTTTAAGCAAAAAATGTACAATTTAAGTTTTATAATTTTTTTGGAGGAAAAGAGTCTTTTATTCTGTCCTTACGTACAGATATCACGCAAAAACATCGTTAAATTGCATTCGAGAGCGATCAAAATGGATAATTTCGTTGAAATATGCTGCCTGAAACTTTTCGTGATTACAATACTTCCTTTTTACTTCGTACAAGGAAGTAAAAAGAAACAGTTTTTCAAAGACGATATAGTATTTCTCATTCAATTAATTCAGTTCTCATTTCGCGACTAGGCAAAGTACATGAAAATTCAAAATATCTGTATTAAAAATTACGAACTAAATCTTAAACACTTATTTCCTCGAAAAAAATTCCAGAAAGGATTACGCATGATTTAATTCACAATAATAAATGAAGGCGTTATCTTTGTTGTTGCGAAGCTAAGTTTCTCTAGATTGAAAACAAATCCACTAGTCTGCTGTTTCAAATGTAAACAAGCAATGGCCGCGATCAAAAAAATTATTAGGCTTAGCGGCACTTAAACAGCTTTGAAATTGTTGATAATTGTCAAACTATTGCATACAGATTTAAAGGCATAAAAACCTTAACCGGAAGATAAGAACAGCATAATTTAATTACTTTTAAAGCAAAAAATGTACAATTTACAAACATATAAGAGCAAAGAAACTGAGATCACTGAGCCGGGTTACAGACTGGATATATATATAAATATATTTATATACGTTTGGTGTGGCCGATTGCAACCAAAATACGAGGTGCACATCTACATGTTATAGCTGTTCTATACACAAAATTTCAACGTTCTGAAGCTACTCGTTTTTTGAGTTATCCGAGATACGTAGGTACGTACGTACATACGTTCGTACAGACGCCACGAAAAATTCTCGTCAGAATTCATTTTAATGCAGTTTTGTAATTTTTTTGGAGGAAAAGAGTCTTATTTTGTCTTTACGTACAGATATCACGCAAATACATCGTTAAATTGCATTTGAAAGCGGTCAAAATTGATATTTTCCTTGAAATATGCTGCCTGAAACATTTAGCGATTACAATAGTTCCTTTTTACTTCGAACAAGGAAGTAAAAATGAGGGCAAAAATTAGCGCTTTAAGAGTTTTTAATTAATATCTGGGCTGATTAAAGTCGTACAAAGATGAGAATGGTCGAAATGTCTTCTCAGGAATTCTTGGAATTCGGGGGTACCTCTTTCGAAATTCAAGTCCCCCACCGTTCCGGAAGAGATAGGTGAGCCTTACATCTGAGTCGTTGCGATAGAAATTTAAAAAATTCATCATAAATTTTGAGATATCATCGATTAACTTCTCCCTTTTGTTTACCCTGTAAGGATGATAATCATAGATACGCATGTACGCTCACACACGCAGGCGCCTAGTCAGGAAAATGAACTAAAATTGTAGGAACAAATCATCATTTTACATAAGGAACCGCTTTTCTGGATTTATTTCTGGCAGAATTTTAAAATTTTGACTAATAACATTTTAGAACAATTTTAAACTCAGTTATTAAAAAGAATAAAAAAAATTGAACTGTATACAAAAAATTTGCTCTATATCACTGTCAACAAATAATCCTGTAAGGCAGAAAGACAGTTAATAACATTATCTCCCATTGTGCATTCAAATGTTTATACGACCATTTTAAAGCATGTAGTGTACTGGAAAGTTCTGATCGATATACTGAATTATATGTGTTCAATCTCAATTTGCCACATCCGATTTCATGCCAAGAACTATACAACAAAAGCAGCACCCAGACTCTCGCCCACACCCGAACCATCAGTATATATATCATATTCATGGATTATAGGAATGTCTCTAATAAAAGTTATGGCCATTCGATGTCTGAGATGAATATAGTGGTTAATCTTCCATAATCGAGGTGAGCGTCAAACTTGACGAGTTTTTAGTTTGGCGCGATTTTGATCTGGTTCTGGTTTCTGGCTGTATGTTTTCCTGTGGCAAACCTAGAGCTTTATTTCGGTAATTAATTCTACCAGAAGATTTTTTTTTTAAAATTTAATCTTCAAATACTGAGTTTATTTTTAAAATTTTATCTATTTGCAGTTTTACTATTATATCGGGTTGTCCGGAAAATAATGCAGGTTTTTGCAATTGTTTATCTTTCCTGTACATTTTTAGCAACAAATATATTTTTAATTATATTGGTTTATATATCACTTTAAAGCTCTATTTTCGCTCTATATTTCTATAATAATCATTTTGTTCCAAAATTATTTTCAAAAATATTTACTAGGTGTTTCTGTTTAGATGTCAAAACGGGATTTTCCACAAATTTACTTTTATGAGTACAAGCTAGGCCATAGCGCAGCACAAATGGCTCGAAATGTCAACAAATTATGGGCGAGAAAAGGGTTAATGAATCTACAGTTCAACAGTGGTATCAAACGTTTCGTCGTGGAGAATTTGACCTGGAAGATCAAGAGCATCGTGGACATTCTTCAGCTGTTGGGATGACGACGGTTTGAAGACTTAAAGTTGAAACAGACCCGTGCACAGCTTTTCGAAGAGCTTGCGGAGGAGCTTCGCGTAAGCAAAACTTGAATCGCATAGGAAAGTCAAAGACGCTCGATAAGTGGGTGCTTTACGAATTGAAGCGAAAATAAAAAAAATCGCCGTTTTGAAATATCGTCTACTCTTCTTCTCCACAACAAAAACGACCCTTTTCTTGATTGAATTGTTACATGCGATGAAAAGTAGATTCTCTATAAGAACCGGCGACATTCGGCTGAGTGGTTGGACCGCTGTCAGACACCACAACACTTTCCAAAGCCAAATTTGCTCCAAAAGAAAATTGTGGTGACTGGTGGTCTGCGGCCGGTCTCATTCACCACGGCTTCCTAAATCTGTACGAAACGATTATGGCAGATAAGTACTGACGGCAAATCGACTAAACGCACCAAAAATTGCAACGCATGTGCAACAGAAACGCACTGGTGAACAGAAAGAGGCCAGTTCTTCTTCACGACAATGCTCGGCTGCACGTCGTGCAACTGACCCTACAGAAATTGAACGAATTGGGATACGAGACTCTCTATATTCGCCTGACCTCTCGTCGACCGATTACCACTTTTTCCAACAAACTGGATAACATTTTGCAGAAGAAATGCTTCAGAAATCAAGACGAGATGACTTGAAGTTTATAATTTATGAATGTTTTCGTTTAATTTTATCTAGTTAATGTTTTCCGGGCAGTTATTATTATTTTTTTTTTAGTTTTGTCTCTTGCATGTGGCAATCGAAAGATGTGGAATGTTTAAAGTTTTGTCGATTAGTGTGTTGAATTACACGACATAGTAGCTTGTATATTTTAGTGAGTTTATGATGTTGCCGTTGTTAGTGAATTTGAATATGTTTACTTGGTTGACAATTTTGGAGTCAGAGGAAAGTGTTATACAATTTATTATCCATTATACTATTTTATCAAGAATTAAGTATCTAGGACTATGTTTTTACTTGTAAAGCTGATGGACTTTGTTTTACTCATCTAGTATTTTATCGTCTCATTTTATTATTTTGTTTACATAAAATAACGGCGTTTCACTATTGCAAAACTTAAAAGTTACTATTCTGTTTACGCTTAAAAACCACGTCTTAGTGCTCTCATTGCCGCCAAAAAAATTCGCCAAATTTTGAAGGCCAAAATAATTTGGGGCAAACTTACCCGCTTATGGAAGATTAGCCAATGTAATTAATATTGAACCTTTCAAAAGCATACTATATTACAATCTTTTCCTCACATGCTAAAAGACCAATCTTGCAGAGCGCAAAAGAAATTTGTTATAAAAACAGCTGTATGACAACAAGAATATACAGAGTAGGTACTATGTAGAAGAAAAAGTAAATGTTAATTTACCTGTACATGAAGGAAAAAATATGCCTACTAAAAGAGTGAAAGAAGTTGATATATCAACGAGAAGTGCTTTCAGGGTGTTCTGCCCTCGTGGCTGGTAATGCTCAGGGTCATCGCTTTCAGTAATCAGGTCACCTTTATCGCGAAATCGCGTAGCTATATTTTCTGCAAAGAAAGAACATTTCATAAATATCATTTTGTCATCATAACGCCATCATTTATGAGGTAACACTAGCAGAAGGCAAAAAGTATACTGAGTTTAAAAAAAAAAAAATATATATCTTCCGTTCTACTGGGCCGATTGACGAAATTCAACTTGCATTTTTCATATCTCGAAAGCGCAACTTACCATATGTATTAGATTTATATATACCATTGTTCTAATATAGGTAAAATCGGACTTTTTCTGAAATGGCATGCCAATGTTTTTTCCATATTTCGATTCTACCACTCAAATCCTGCCAAACTGCCAAGTTTTGTAAAAATCGCCACGAGTAGTTTTTAAAAAATTAGTTCTCAGAATTTTAGCTCCTTAATGTTAATTGAGTTTAGTTATATTTATTAATATCTCTCTTTTTTATTAAACTTACTTGATTCTTCCTTTCACATTTCGAAATTTAGGTTCATTCCAAATAAAATTCGACCACTTTTTATGATTTAATTTAAAATTTGTATTTTTAAATAATTTTATAAATTTTTTGAAAAAAAAAACCTTTTTTAATTATAACCATAAAATTTTACCATCATCGTAAAGTAGACGCATTAAGCATACCTGCAAAAATCAGAGTTTTTTAATTCAAAATTTCCTAGGATCACGTGAATTTACATACTGGCTCGTTTTGAAATTTGACATATTCGTTTTAACCAAAAATAACGCCAAATGTGTTTTACGCACTTTGTTAAAATTGTTTGAAATAATGAACGATGACTTTTTTCCAATTGTTTACAATGGAAAAGAGGCTGCTATAAATTAAGAAGTTCGCCAAGTGAATTATTCTTGGGTTAAACTGAAAAACATGCTCCAAGATAAATTTTAAAATTTCTCCGTAAATTTCGCACCAAATTTAACAAAATTTAATATTTATTCATAATTTGAGAAGCAGAATCGAAATATGGAAAAAAATCGAAATGTCATTTCAGAAAAATTACGATTTTGTGTCAAAATACCTATCTTAGGACAAAGTTGTATATAAATTTAATATGTATCCTAAATCGCGCTTGTGCCTAAATATCTTCGTGGCAAACTAGAAGGATAAGAGTTCCATCAACAACGAAGTACCGGAAAGGTAGATTTCGTTCTGGCAGATCATATTATTATTTCTAAAATTTATTTCGCATTTAGTCCCTCGTGAATTACGAAAATATGCCAGTGAAACGTTCCTAAACACGATGATATGCAGCCCACTCGATGTTGGTCTTTTGCTTAGAGAATATACGTTGAATTTTGCTAATAGCGGGATTTATTCACAAGTACGTGAGTTTTTATGCCTCCTTTTTCTTTTCCTTTTTTATTCTTTCCTTTAAGCTAATGAATGTAAATTGATCTATTCATTTGAAATGAAACCACGGTAAAGCTGGATTTAAGACAGATTATAAATACAAGGTTTTTATGCATCAGTTACATATGTCATTATACGATATTTAGGTTTCTACAAATTTCATGATTTATGATTAATGAATGATTTTGATATTGAATGTTATATTATGATGTCCTAATTTACAAGGTGTGACACACACAAAGAGAGAGAAACTGGTCCAATAAATCATTGTGCTTACAGAATCAGTTCTCCGTGACATTATTACCTTCAGAGTAGTTCCCTTCAGCATTCACACAATTCTACATTCCGTGCTGCCATTGTAGGTAACAGTTCTGGAACAAGGTTTTTAGAACGCCATTCAGGAGATTTTCCGTTTTTGACTGAACACCTTCAGCTGAGGTAAAATGGATTCCCTTTAAGTAAGATTTAGGAAATAAAAAAGTCGCATGGCTCCAAATCAGGTGAATATGGAGGATGCCCCATCACAGACAGATAGGGCCGTGTGAGCGGCTGCATTATCCGGGGCAACAGCCATCCATCATTCGACAACAGGTGGCCTTTTTTTCCTTAATTGTTTCACGAAGTCTTTTTAGTACTTCAATGAAGTCATGGTGTCTGACCATTGGGAATCCATTCAGTCATGATGAAGTGGGCGCCCAGCACGTTCAGCATCTTTCTTACTTTTCCTTCTTCCTGAAAACCGCTTATGCCATTCAAACACACGTGCATGTGACAACGTTTCATCTCCATAAGCCTCCGTTAACATTTGAAATGTTTCGTTTCCTTTGCAACTGATTTCTTAAGTTTCATGAGAAACTTGACTTAATTCGCTGTTCGTTTTTTATATTAGACATTTTTCCGGCAGAATGCAGTTTCACGTGTTAACTTAATGACGCAGTGCTCCCCACTGGCGTGGTCGGTTAAGTCGAGACTGGCCGCATGTATAGAGGAGGAGTGTGGCATGACGTCACCAAAACAGTTGTTGCCAATTCCACTTTGTTTTCAAGCTACACAGTTTCGTTTTTTTGTGTCTCATCTTGTATATCTTCAAGACCAGTTTTCCAACTATTTTTACCAGGAGTTTTAAGGCTATTATATACACTCGTTCCCTTGTAAGAATTGGAGGCTCCCTTCATCCCACCTGGACACGAGTGTCCTCATAGCTCAGAAGAAGGGGTCCGGTCTCTCCATAAACGAGAGCAGTCAGCAACTTGATCGATTCCAAACAACAACAACAAAAAAAAAAAATTAAAAATAAATATGTGTGTGTGTGTATGATTATGGCAAAGCCCTCGAGGGCTATCTGCCTAAGGGGAGGGATGCCTTCGTGGAGGACTTTCTAAGGGAAACTGGCTCGTATACACGTTACACATGGGGAAAACCACGAAAACGCCCATGCAGCCAGCCCGTTCGCGGGATTCGAACCTCGGACCGAACTACCAGTGTTCAGCGACTTTACCGCTCGGCCGCTGGTGGGCACTAATTAAAAATAAGTAAGCACATCTAACACAAAATTTCAAACAAAAACCGCAAACTCCAAATCACAACATAGAACATCACAGATATCTAAATGGTACTTACATTAAAATCGGTAATTTAATAAATCTGTCAAATGGGGGCTGTTAAACTACAATCAACCCCAAAATGCCTAGCATCACCATCAACCTAACAACTATTACATAGTTTATTTTCCTGTAGATTAAATCGGTTGAAATAGAACGGAAACCTACCACGTCCACTTAAAACCTCATTAACGTGTATATTGTTCATACATTTCAGCTTACTCGTGATTTTAATTAGCTCCATAAATCCTTTGCTTTTAGGTGAGGAGAACCACTGAGTTTTCAATTTGCTAAACGTAAAACTCTTTCATTCTTCTAATAGCAATTTTCTTCGAACCTGTTACTTCAATATCCATTGCACTGACATTTGAGACCACCTGCTTGGGCAGGCTGTCGGTTCTCTCATTACCAATAAAGTCTACATGGGCTTTTAACACAATGTAGCTTAATAATATTTAAATATGAACTCAGAGCTTCTAAATAACTTTAATTTCGACAATTAAAGGATTGAAATTGTTCTCTTATCAGAACTCACTAGTTCTCCTATCAGAACTTCAAACAAGAATCATGTAATGGGGCAGAAGCACAATGCAAAAACATTTTGAAAGTTTGGCAAAACACATGTATTGTGGCTATCAGTCTAGGAGAAGATTGCATGGAAGGATTAAAGTAATGGCCAAATGCAGACAGCTCCAAAACAACTTTATTACCATATGTACAAACGTTTACAATCTTTCAATATAATATTCTGCTATGTCTACAATTTCTACCAAGTTACTAGAAAGCGTCGTATAGCATCAACACGTCCATTTCTGTTGATGCCCTGCAGGGACTACATCGAAGCATAGATAACCTCCTTTATTGCGCAATGGATCCTTCACAGCTGCTATTCCATTTTGGCGAAGATAGCATTTTCACACAGATTCCTACTGAATAAATATGGCAGGTTGTCCATACCTTTGATCCCCGTCGCCACTGGGGATCCGTAACAGCCCTCTCATTATGAAGCCGCGTATTGTAAGGAAGGAGGATCTTATTCTTCACCTGAGTCATTATTTGCATCCAGCACTCAGAAGAAAGTGGTAATGTACCTTAGTGACAGATCTCCTCCGCTTCTTTCACCATATTCCGAGTCAAAATGCAGGGCTGTCATTATGACGCCGCGCACTGTAATGGAAGAGGATCTTATTCGTCACCTGAGACATTATTTGCATGTAGCACTCAGGAGAAAGTGGTAACATACTTTGGTGACAGACCCCATCCTTTTCTTTCACCATACACCGAGTCAAAATGCAGGGCTGTCATTCTGACGCAGCGCACTGTAACGGAGGAGGATCTTATTCGTCACCTGAGACATCATTTGCATCCAGCACTCAGGAGAATGTGGTAACATACCTTGGTTACAGATCCCATCCTCTTTTTTCACCATATACCGAGTCAAAATGCAGGACTGTCATTATGACTCTGACTACTCAGAAGAATTCCTGAGAAGTACTGGCTAGGATCTGTACTTAGGTTGTCTCAACTACGGGGGTATATAATCAGTCTTCACAGGACTAGAACCTCCATTCATTCGGTGCATGGTTCAGGCTTGGCAAGGACCGTATTGATACTGTTTTGTCCGACCCTTGCCTGTGGGCTCTTTACATCATTTGTTATTGTGTTTGTCTTTGGGTGTTTGGTCTCGATCGGTCCCCTGAAGGGGACGCCATTAGTTAGTATGGACCACTCTCTTGAATCTCGTTGCTTCCGGGGGCACAGGTTTCTTCGTTTAATACTAGTTACAGCTTTTTTGTTCCCATGCTCTGTAAAGCCCAAGGGGGACCGCGGAGGCTGCACTCCCCTTGGACAGTCTCTGGAGTACGGATGCAACTGCCTGTGCGGCAAATTTATCAGATCCAGGTCAGGGATTCGTCGCTGGTGTTTTGCCTGCTGGATGCAAATGGCGTTGTGCATTATCTGGAAATGCACTATAACGCTGCGGTATAATAAGGCGGGGGCTGTCACGGATCTCCTGCAATGATAGCGATGGTAATTATTAGAAGATCCGTTATACTCATCCGATATATATCTGTATCTTTTCGCCATACTGAAAGCACTATTGCGAAGGTTCCATTCCAGTAGTACATAGAAGGCTATCCGTGTTTTACGGAGGTCAGCGTGAGGCGTCAACAGAAATAAACACTCTGATACAGGGTGTCCAGCAATGATGTAGCTGATTCCAAAATTAAAAATCTCGAAAACGAAGATCGATAGAGGGTAAAATAAGCGGTATATTTACTGTGAGAGCTGTAAGATTATTATACAGAAGTTTTGAAATAATACTTGCGAAAGCTGCCAACAGATTTCACTGTACACTGACGTCTTTCAAAGCTTTAGTTATACGTATTACGATTACAGCGCCATTGCCAGCTTGTGTAACTATTATTTTGAAACTTCTACATAAAATTCTTACGGCTTTCACAATAAACATATCGCTTGTTGTATTCCTCGATCAATTTTTGTTTTTGAGATATTTAATTTTGAAATCAAAGACTCCTTTACTGGATCCTGTAGTTTGACGTTTTCCAATAATTTGGTTGAAGGGGGCAGACATAGCAGCGATTATATTACGGAACTGTAAGTGGTTTTATCTATGGCAATGCAATCTTTTTAAGAACTATCCATGCATTACTATTGTTTTTTATTCAGCCCTAGTAAATGAACTAACTTCTTGTTTTTGTGCTAAACATTATATAAACCATTATCTAGAAAAAATGTAAAGTCTTAGGTGCAGAGGGCCAAGCGTTTAGGACCCATAAAGTATCATTAAAATGTGTATTGATGGAAATATTCCTGAAACGACATCTTTATTTCATGTATGTTCATGCATTGTCTGCTTCTGAAGTACCTGGTGGTAAAGTCCTGCAAAACGAACTGGTACCTGAAGGATATAAGGGAAAGATCCAGCCACTGGATATTCAGTTCTTTCAGACGCTATACATCTTTTCTTTGTTACATAACGGATACAATCATTATCCAGACACAGGAGCACATCTGGCATTGTGATAGTTTTCGGGCCCTGCAGTCCTTTTCCCTATATCAGTTCAGCACTCCTCATTTCAAGAACTTGATTAAGTATGCTTTTTATAAGGGCGGACTCTTAGACGACGAACCTGGAATGTGGATTCCACCAATGTATTGCTGCTTCGATTCATTGACAAATGATGAGTGTGCAAAGTTTAAAGCTATCGCTTTTGTAAAATGTGCCCATTGTGAACTGTCGTTCTGCCCGTCTCACTGTTTATTTGATGAATTTCACATTAATTGTCTCCATTTTCAACATCCCAGCGTATATTGTTTCTTTTCCAGCAGTTGTTTCTTCCTTTATATTGAGATCTACACCTTCTTACTATATTATTACTAAACTCAGTGGCGTAACAGCCCTAATGGGACCAGGTCTGCAGTGCACGAAATCTGCTTTCTTGACCATGGGCCCCAGGGTGCATATGCCTTGAACAAGTGGTCAGCTTGTCGCAGGACTCCCAGTGTTTAGTCCCCAAGCGAACTTGGTACTCATTTTATCGACCCAAGTAATGGAAATCAAGGGATGAAAGGCTAAGTGGACCTTGCCCAGCCAGTGAATCAAACTCCGGACCTGTGGTGCCCACCGGGCCTTTACTATATTATTAGTTCATATAAATACGTGAAACGAGCATTTTTAGAGACTTCTAGTTCATGTTTCGAACACTTTACTGATACTTTGTGGGTCCTATAGCTCCTAAACGCTTGTCCCTCTGCCCCTAAGACTTTAGAGTTTTCTACTTGTGACATAAGCTTTCGGAAAATATATGGGTTTATGGCGAACCAGTATCAAAAGAGAGAAACTTTACATGCCAGTGAAATAATTAATCCTAACCACATGAAAACACCTTTTACTTAAGGATATGATTTCGAACTGACCTAAAAAACGTAAATTGATGAGTGACGTAAGCGCTTCTAGCGCTCTAATTTGATGAAATCAAGGCTACACAACTAAAATCAAGGTTCAATCAGAGGGTCTAGGTCTTTTCGCCGTCGCCATTTCACCGTGGCCGATTCGCAGTCAAGATATATTTTCTTCACATGAGTCTATTATATCTTGCCGTATTATGCTCGTATTAAATTTATTTAGTTTAATAATTCCGTTTACCTCTTGCATACTTAATAAAAGGTTGCTTGTAATATATATAGTTGTTTACAAGTATCAGATATAAAGAAATTAGACATAGTTAGTTGGAAAATTATGTCAGTGTCAAAGAGAACTGGGTCTAAACCTCCGACATAACAGAAGTTACATTATCGATTTTAAAGTTATGCAAGGGACAATATTTACATGATTCGTCAAAATGTCTTCAAACATTGATCGGCTAGTTCAGAGACGTCACTCCTACAAGCAGGAAATTCACATTTTTATGAAATCTGAACGGGAAACGGAATTACTTTGGAATCTTGTCAGCATATTACTTTCTTAAAATTAGTATGTCATGTGTAAGGATTTAATTGTATAAAATTTTGCTGGAAAACATCTTATACATTATTTTATATAAAATGTTTACTAAATTAAATTATTAAACTAAATTTACATAATATAATACAGAAAGATATAATACAGTCGTGTAAAGAAAAAATATGTCTCAACAGCGAAACGTCCCGACGGCGAATAGTCCCAATCAGATGTCTTAAAACTTGCATCCGTGTCCTCCTAAAAAAACCCGCAAAATGATCCTAAAGGTTATTAACGATTATATTATTTTTATATTCGTAATGTGAAATAAAAATATTATTTAATTATAGCTTTGTAATTTCACTAGGGATATCCTTTGCGACATTAACGATTAATTATATATTATATTTAATTTTAAAATTCACTTTAAAGGAAATTTTCAACTTCATAATATCTTTTCTCTTTTAATGCATTCCGAAAAGTTTGAGATATCAACAAAAATACTCACCCCAGAAAACACCACTAGAAAGTCCTGGTATAGCTTTTCTAATTTGCACATCATGAGTTTCAAAATAATCGTCGCACACATAAATAGTGTCATTAGCATTGGTGGAGGTAGCATTTCCCATGGCTTTGCAATATATTCCAAATAAAGAACCATTGATATTTTCTTTAGAGCATACAGTATATCCCGTTGAACTCAATATTCTGTCGCCCAGCATGCAAAATCTGAAAAAAAAAAAAAAAGTATAAGAAAAGGCCGGTCAGAATGTTGCACAAATATTATATCGTACAACTTTCTATTACCTGTTTCTAAATGAGATTAAATAAAACTTTTCTTGTAAAGGAACAGCATGTTTTCCAAAGCTCATAATTACAAAAAATGTCAGTAACATTTAAATTCATGTGCATAATATGCATTTATATGCATGATAGTAACGAAGTTTAAGGGAAAAAAAATGCAAAAACAGTAGCTACCACCTGTATTTGATACAAATGAATACTTTATACAGGAGTTGGAGAGAAAATGTAAAAATTGCAAGTTTTGTTCACGAGTGATGATCTTCAATTTTTATTAGCAATTTTTTTGACAATATCCAGTAGAGTCTAACAATGCCCAGGAGAAATCGTTTGCCCGATTCGTTGAGGTGGCGGGCGATTGGATGGATGGAAATGAGGATGTCACAAGCTGATGCTGCCAGATGTCTCAATGTATATCGTAGTATGGTCCACCAACTGTGGAATCAGTTTGAATCCGAGGATTCTGTGCCTAGAAGACATGTTCTAGGCAGACTTTAGATTTACAACACATGCGGGGAATTGTTATTTAGCTCTTTCTGCAAGAAGGAGGAGCAACATTACTTTGCCTCAGCTCATGGCAGATCATTTAATGGCAGCAGGAACAAGAATCTCAGCTATTACAGTGTGAAGACGCCTGCACAATACAGTTCGTATGCAAAACGACTAATTGTTTGTGTCCGTTTGACCCAAAGACAAAGAGATGCCCGTTTATGTTGGGTAAGAAAACAGTCTCCTGGACCAGTCAACAATGGGAATCTGTTCTCTTCACAGACGAGTCAGGTTCACACTGGACAGTAATTCAGGTCGTCAGCTTATAAGGTATTTCTCCCGCCTTCTTAGCATGCCTTCGTAGTGTGGTGGTCTGCACGCTGGGCGCGTAATCCAGAGGTCAGTGGTTCCATTCCCGGCGAACGCGTTGCTCATTTTTCAATCTCTCTTGCTTCCAATTAACCTAATGTCTCTACAATATATAGTATTATATATAAATAAACACTGATGCATGCATATAAAAGAAAGACTTTAAAATAAATTTTAAATAAATGCAAGAATGTTCCGGTTAAGACTTCTAAGATCAGTGTTGACGCCCTTTTCGGACTGATGGTTACTGGTGCCAACTGTTAAATCGTAGTTGCTCGTTTGACTCTCAGAGAAAATGTGCATGTGTATATAGTGTCTTTGAGGCATGGATACTGACGAACCAAAAGTCTACACGAGAGGTTGTGGTAGCAGACCTTCAGATTTGCCTTCTGGGGATTCGTCTTCGAAACTTTAGATGGGTAAATGTCATACTATGCCCTGTAATTTGCCAAGGCAGGATTAATTCGAGAACTTGATGCAATATGTGTTTTAGCCTAGGAGATTAATCAAAGCGACATAAATTCAGTGTTTCAAAAGCAACTACTTGAATTTCTAAAAAAAACGTAAGTCTAAATTCGGCTCTCTTCGGTGCAGTGATTATAAAGGAATGCATGTTTAATGAAGCAAACAATATTACTTATGCAAAGGAATTATTGTTAAAGAATTCCAGAAATATTAATCTTAGTAAGTTAAGCAAGTTGATGATAATGTAGTATTTATTTTGAAATTAAGAGATGATGATGTCACTAAAATTTTTCTCACCTCCATCAGAATACGGAATATCCATTCCTTTTCAAATGTGGTCTTGATATCATCCTACCAAATGTTACGAAGACCAAATGTTAGAAATGAAGACGTTTAATACAGCAATGTGCAACACTGTTGTGCCTCCCGTTGGACGACAGGCATGTTTGGTATGTTAGACGACAGGTATGTTTGATTGGGTTATATTGCGTTTTTGAATAAACAGCTGAAATGAAAATTCCTCCTTGGATCCACTTTCACGTATACATTCAATTGTTCCACAAGTTCGGATGTGACAATTTCGTTTGATTGTACTATCATACCTCCAAAGAAATGTTATAAGGTATTTCTCCCGCCTTTTTGGCATGCCTTTATGATGTGATGATCTGCAAGCTGGGCACATATTCCAGAGGTCCGTGGTTCGATTCCCCGCGAAAGCGTTGCTCATTTTTCCTCTCTCCTGCTCCGAAATAACCTAATAGCTCTACAGTGGCGCCCTAACTAAAAGGGTGGTGGATGAGGATTCTCCAAACCCAGGATTTGGCAATTGGGTCCCCTAAAACTCCAGTCGCCCTTTAAAAGGGGGGTATATAAGGTAGTTCTCCCGCCTTCTTCGCATGCCTTCGTAGTGTGGTGGTCTGCACGCTGGGGGCGTATTTCCAGAGGTCCTTGGTTCGATTCCTGGCGAAGAGGCTGCTCATTCTTCACTTCTCCTGCTTCGATAAAATACCTAATGTCTCTACAAGCTGATCTGGAGGGAACAACACACTAGATACAACCAATCCCACACTGTGGAAAGACACAGTTACAGAGATTGTGGAATAACGGTTTGGGCTGGGATCTCTCTCGGTGGTCACATTGAACTGCATGTGTTCCATGGAGGAACTTTGATCGGTGCGAAATATCGAGACCAGATCCTTCATCAGTATGTCCGCTCATATGCCGCTGCTATTGGTCCTCGTGCGGACGACAATGCGCGACCGCACCGAGCTCAGGTTGCTGAAGAAGAGGGTCACGGATGGAATGGCCAGCTCAATCCCCAGACCTGAATCCGAGACAGGATTTTTCTGACAAGAGTGCAATTTTTTGTTGTAATTCATGTTTGTGTCGAACTTTGGAAACATTCTATGTAGCATTCATTAAAGAGCTGTTTAGTGAACATGTCGTGAAAATTTTTTGCTTCTAGGTTGCTTCATTCTCAAATTAGACACAGGAAACATGCTGTTCTTTAACTTTTAGAAGTCAGTGTATTTAAGTTAATCAGGTTAAAAAATAATTAAACGCATTATTTCAGGTCAAAAGAAAACTGGAACTGGCTTTTAAGAAAACACTACAATATATATATTTATCATATAACTGATTTTACGGTTTAAATTTAGCGAAATATTTTGAATTATCACAAAAGTTTAAAAACTAGAGTCAGTAACTAATTTTATTGTGTAATAGTGAATTATAGAAGCAGTATGTTCAGTTACGCCTACATTCTTCATCCTGAATGTCTAATAATGCGACTATAAATATTTTCTAAAATATAGATACTACCCATGTTACGTATGTTATTCATGAATTTTGGCATATGTAACACTATTGTTGTTTTCAAATATGTTTGTGTCTTTCTTCTCTCTATATTTCTGTTTCATAAATATATACTCCTAGATGAATTTCTACACAGAAGTTATTATTTTTACTGTTTCTTATACATATGCGTCGCAGCAATAGCTGTTGAAATCTTCAGAGATGTATTATTACCTCAAAATAATTATTCGACAGTATTACAAGTGAAGTTAAGGATTTTTTTTTTTTTTTTAGAAAAATCTTAAAACGCTGTATAGTCAGACAAGGAAGTTCACAATAATATTCAGTTCAAAAACTCGCGTATTACTAAAATCATACAGAAACTGCTGATTATAGACACTTGTTACAACAATTTCAGTGGACTGTATTTTAAAAATACGAGTACTTTATTTACTTTCAGGACACTTTTTAACTCTAATTCTCTAAAAACTGTTAGAATCCAAATTTTAAAAACAAATAAAAATCTGAAAGGTTTCAGATTTTAATTTACGTCCAAAGGGGCGTTTTTACTAACGTTTCGTGTGTTACCTTTATTTATTAAATATCAAGTTCTACGTACTCAAACTATAAAATCCAGTTCAACAGCAATATAGTAAAATAATTTTAAAATGAGCCTATCTTTAGAATTTCCGATTCAGTCTCGCGCGTTGGAGCAGTGTTGCCAGAAAACTTTCAACTAAAGTAGCAAAAGCAGACTAAAAAAAGTCGCAAAAATCGCAAATGACCCCCGTCAGAGGACACGTTAGTTTTTATGACGTCACAGTTATACATCCTCACATGACCTCTGACGTCATCACAAATTTACCGTCTGCTGCGATTCTGTAAGTTACAGACTGTATTCAATTTTTAGTCTTTTCAATTACGTTATCTTAGCTTTAAGGAAAATTTTAAAACTATATTGCTCATTTTCCATTTTTTAAATATCCATTTCTTTTTTAATTAATTCTCATTTAATTTAGGTTTCTATTTTTAAATTAATTTGTGCATATCCATTCTTAAGAGATTGCTCACGCTTATATTGTTAGACCTTTTTTATTATATTTTAGAGTTGGCAGTTAATTCTTTTAATTCAGTTTTTTTTTACTTAATCGTGAACTTTTTAATTGAGGAATGCTTTTCAGTGAGTTTTCCATTCTGGGGGCTGGATCTGTTTCAGATTTTGATTACTTAAGGAAGCCTTGTTCTGTCACTGTTAAATTCATTTGCGTTGTTATTTAGAAATTTTGCTTTGATTTTTAAGTCATTTCCATTGCTTAGTTCGTAGCAATATATAATCAGAAGTATGAATTTCATTTCTTTCTTTGTTTGGTTAGCCAATACATGGCGCGCAAGCTGCATGTTCTTTGATTCGATTCATTATCACCATAAAACTGGGTGGGGGGAGACAGACTTAAAAATAAATCTCACGGGGGACGAGGGAGGGTGGTGAGAGGTTGAGAAGTGTTTTTTTTCCTTTCCACTTTATTACGAGTACTTCCTTTCTCGTTATACCGACGTTAGGCTGTGCAGCCTTGGAAATTAGATTGCCAGATGCCAACTTCTACTTAAACCTAAATATTTTTTTAATATAACTTATTTTTAATTGATACATTATTTTAACATGAAAGACTTTTACGATATATTAAAAAAACTTTGAAGTCGCAAAACTAGCACGCATAAGAAAATTGTGGATGTCGCAAAAATTACTCAAAATCGCAAATATTAAAATTTTAGTAGCACAAGTTAATCAAAAGTTGAAAATTGGCGAAAAA